AGGCGCCTGAAGGCAAGGGGCAGGTGCTTTCTCCATTCTTGTCCAAAGCATCTACATTCCACCAGGCAAAAGGTGCTGGATTCCCCCCCCCCTTGTTTTCTCACTGTTTTATGTCAGAGTAAAACAAAGGAGGACAGGGGACGAGAAGAAAAAGAGCAATACCAGAATAGGTTTTAATCTGTTTCACAAAGATGAGATGAAAACTGCGGTCCCTTTTGCAGGTTTTGAGATCAAGTTCCCACAGAGGCAAGAAGTAGCAAGGCAGGGGTTTGATGTGGTCCAGTGTCACAGCGGTGAAGACCTTCAGACTGAAACCTTGACTCCATGTAATCTGCCCTCAGGTACTTTGCATGTACCTTGTTTTGACTGAATTCCCAACTAAGAAACAACTAGAGGTCCCTAATTAGGTCAAGAAGAACTATTTCCTCTGTGGTGTCACCTATTTCCTGTGTGTGACTCACCCTCTGGGTGGGGTAATGTGAGGTCTGAGGTGAAAACTCAGCAAGGCCCTAAAAATACAGGATGGATAGGCAAAAGGTGGTGTTTCTCATCTTAGTTAGGATCAGTGGGGCAAGAATTCAAGCTGACCAGGATGAGAGTTGAGTCCCAAGGCCCTGAAGTTAGTTTAATCTGGTTGACCACTGTGGGTCAAAATAGATCGGAGGCCACTCATATTTTGCCTCTTTGTTATTCTGTCTGCACGTACTAAAAATGTGGTGAGGCTTTGGGCCAAAGTTGTGGCTTGTCACAGAAGAGTCAGTCTTTCTATGCACCTGTCATGATCAAAGCAGATCTTAAACAAGAGTCAAAGGCAGCAGGATTTCCTTTGAGACCTCACGTTTGGCCCTCAGATGCTGTGCTTCCTAGATCCCACCCATCTTATAGCCCCATTGCCTTGGAATAGGGCACAAGGTCCCCTTCCACCAATTGTGCTCTGGTTTTGTTTTCTGTTGGGAACGCTGGCAAACCAGTCTCGCCGGAGGATTTCAGCTTTGGTTATAACAGCTAGTTGGATGTTGCTTCTGCCACTGGGAAGCAACCACAGACAAACACAGAAAACATTTTTTTCAAATGATGGGAGGATGGCAGATTATTGCAAATGTGTTTCGTATTTTTTTAAGTTTGTAGTGTTTTCCTGGAGTGTGGTGGAGTGCGGACAATAAAAGAGCAGCATGGAGTACTGTGATGTTCCTGCCTGGTTCCCCACCACCACCACCACCACAGAGATCTCTATTCCATTCTTGAAAACAAAACAAAACAAAAAACACACACACACAGATGGGTGCCCAGGGCTGCATGACCCAGCATCAGCCAGGTGAATGTTTATGTACACTGTGGTTGAGAGGCCTGGGCCAGCCAGCGTCCATGAACTTTGCTTGCTTTCTTATGCCATTTCTGATCTCATTCCTCCCACTCTTCTCCTGACTGCAGTCATTGTTCAAAGCACCCCTTCCTGACTCTCTGCCACTGTCTCCCTCCTTTTCCATCTTGTTTTTCTCGGGAGAATGTGACAGCATGGCCAGGCCAGCGGTGGTACTTCCTGTGCTCTCTTCTCCCACCAAAAAAAGGGTAATATCACAACTATATCATACAGGGTCAGGATGTCCTGGCCCTGAACAGGTGCCAGGGAGTTTTAAAATAGGTGGTGGTCACCTTAGGATGTCACACGCATCAGAGGCCAGGGCTCTATTCCAGAAATGGACGTAAAGTTGTATAAACAATCTCCCTCCCACACTCAGGGCTAACCCATCACATACATAGTTGTGTGACTGATCTCCAAACTGGAATGGGGATGCATCGGCGATCCTGCCAGAGTATTTGTGTGTGTGGGGGGGATGCCCTTTCTCTGTGTGCTTCTCCAATAGGACACTGGTCCAGATTTCCTTAAAAATTGTAGAATGGAGAGATGGTGTACATTTCTCCATTTTCCATTCTACCACTTTTAAGGGAAATCTGGACCAGTGTCCTATTGGAGAAGCATAGACTGATGGTGAGGGAGGCATTGAGCTGCTTGCGTATACTCTGGATTGTTGTTGTTGTTGCTGTTGTTACTCCAAAGTAAGCATGTAAGGCCTGGATCTGTATTTGGCCCATTGCATAAAAGCAGGAGAGGTTTGAATCCTATCCTAAAATATCTGGAATTTGAGCTAGCTCAAAAGATGTATTGTTCCTGTTCTTTGTCCCAGTCTAAGTCCTTGTGCTAGAACCAAGGGCTAGATGACTTCAGCAGAATCAAGGACCATTTTTCAGATCTGCTAGCGGCCTGAAGTCAATGCTCCATAATTTGCCCGTTTAATTTTTTTAAAATTAAAATTCATTTGTTAATTAGTTTTATTCCTGTAAAGTTTGCTACAATGTTTTGTTGTTGTTGTTGTTAGCTGAAACATAGTTTAGCTTTTTTTAAAAAAAACTGTTCTTAACTGGAAAAAAAATTCTCTTGTCCCTCCCACTTGCAATTTTTTTTAAAATTAACTTTTGGGAATGTATGGAAAAGGATCAAAATGAGACCACATTGCCTCACCACCATCACGTAGAAGACACAAGGGAACACTTGGAGTGACACACACACACACGCGCGCACACACACACCGCATTAAAGATTTTTTAGGGATGGAGCGTCCAAGGGTGCTGGGAGTAGGAAAGCACCCCTGGAGGCCATGTATGGCCCATGAGCCACATTCTGCCTACTCCTTCTGTAGCAGAAAAGAAGCACAGCATTGGAGTTGAGTTGTTGATATGGACCTCTTAAATTCTACTGGCAATTATGACATTCTTCTGTGGGTTGATTTGAGCCCACTCTGGCCTGGAATCCTTTGAATCTCATAATTCTAGATTTCGAGGTAGAGGATCTCATTTTGCTTGCTCAAGAACATTAGTACTCCGAATTAAGGGTGTAATTAGCATGTAATTTTTGTTTAAATAACTTGTTACATTTCAACAGGAGACACTTACAACACTGTGACATTGCATATTGTTTGTTTTTTAGCGATGTGTTGCTAATGCGTTGCTTTTTGTTTGTTTAAAATTGAAAATTGAACTTTTGAAATACAAATAAAGGCCAGAACGCCCCAAATGATGCCCTAATGCCAATGTTTTAGGATTTGTGAATAAATTTTATTCATTGTGCCAAAAAAAAGGGGGGGGAGACGGCATTAATAATAGTCAGTTAGCTGGCCTGTAACAAGGAAGATGCCTTAGCCCAAGGTCCTATCCTGTTGTGTGATTGTGGAAGGATGATTGTTTAAGTGTTCCCCCAACTCCATAAGCCCCCCTCTTTGCATGCACAGTCTCCTACTGCTTTCAAGATAGGTTGTGCAGCTGGTTGTGTGATTGGTTGCACAACCCTGGGAAAATGTATTCCTCTTATGCTCCCAGTGGGATGTCAGCCATTATGATGTATAGAATGAGGAATAGCCGCTCAGAGGAAAGATGCAACAGGAAGTCATCCTTCCTTCTGAATAGTGAAACTCCTTTCATCTCTTCACATGTTTGCAATTTTACACAAAGAGAACTAGCATCTTAGCATCACTGTTTGTTTTTAAAGCTTGTTCTGGACATACTACAGTACTTACAACTATGGCAAGAAGCTCTTGCATTTGCCAACACACTCCTGCCAAGGTAAAAGATGTGTAAGCTCAGTGAGATTCCAGATAAATGTGTGTGAATTTGCAGCCTGAAGACTGTCGAGTCCTTTCCCCCGTTCTGATGATACAGGTACCTTTTGATAAAAGCCTGGGTGGTTTCAGCACAGGCCAGGAGTGCATTGGCACAAGTAAAACGAATGTGCCAGCTGTGCCTGTTCCTGGAGAGGTCCGATCTGGCCACAGTGACACATGCCCTAGTTACATCCTGGCTGGACTTCTGTAATGTGCTGTACATGGGGCTGCCTCTGGAAAGTGTCCAGAAACTTCAGTGGGTCTGAAACATGGCAGGCAGATTGTTAACTGGGGCTGGACACAGGGATCATACAACCCACTTACTACAGTAGTTCCACTGGCTGCCAGTCCATCTCTGGGTACAATCCAGTATGCTGGTTCTAACCTATGAAACCCTAAAAAGCTTGGGTCCAAGCTATCTCAAGGACCATGTATCCTTTTATGAACCTGCTTGGGTGTTATCGATCATCAGGAGAGGCCTTTCTCTCACTCCCACCACTATTGCAGGCGTGTTTGTTAGGTACAACAGAGAGTAATGTTGCTGTTCTCTGTTGCTGCTTTCAGACCTTGGAACTCCCTCCTACAGGAGGCCAAACGGGCCCCATCTTTGCTGTCCTTCCGTAAGCTGGTGCAGATCTTTTTCTTCAGGAAAGCTTTCCCTCAATGACTGGATGCCTCCCTGGGATTTTTGAAGGGATGGTTGTGCCTTACAGACTTGGAATGTATTTTTGGTGTTGTTTTTGTTTACCGTTTTTTAATGTGGTATTTCTTTGACCCTTTTTAGTATTTGTATATTCATTATTTTTAGCGTTACATGTCGTCTTTTGATGGCGTGAGCTGCCTTGGATCCTATTCAAGGAGAAAGATGGGGGTAAAAACAAACGTTTCAGAATTTTCTGAATTTCTGTCAATGCCGGCAGTGTCCCCTGGTCTCAGTGGAGCTCAGAAGATGGTCCCCTTCCAGAAGGACAATGTTCAGCTGCGACTGCTATCCCCTACTCCTGGGCACACACTGTCGCCTTAGGAGTCCCTTGGAAAAGATATTTCTGTGGCTCCAACCAGGGCTGTGGTAGTTTTGCTTCGAAAAGTGCTCCTGACTTATTAGCTAGAGTCTGACCCATTGATCACAAGAGGTGTCCCGGGTACACGATTCCACATGTATCTTTCGGGGGAGGGGGCGGCGGCTTCCAGTTTCGCCCTCGCCTCGCCTTCACCGCCCCCCCCAAAAAAACAAATCTCCGCTTTCCACTCCTCCGTCCGGGTATCCCCTGATTGGTCAGAGCGGGGCGCAGCCCCGGCCAATGAGCAGAGAGCGAAGCTTCCTCTTGAATGAAGTGTGTGTAATTTGTGAGTGGTTGGGTGTAAGTGAAACTGATCAAAGCGCCACGGCTGGTGTTCTTGGCTCCCGGGCGAAACCTGCCGCATCGGGGGCCAAAAAGAGTCGGCCGGGGAAGGGAGACAAGAGAGGGAGAAGGGAGGGCCACCTCCAACCAACCAGCCAAGGAAATGCCGCCGAGCCTCTGAAGGAGAAGAAGAGCCTCTGAAGAAGGAGACGGCGACGGGTTTGGTGTTGGGAGATCTAACTTTGCAGAATCGGTGCCGCCTCTGCGGGATCCTCAGGGAGCTCCGCGTACTCCCCTCTGCTCCATCCCACATCAAGGATGCAATAAACCCCGCTTTCAAAACAAAAAGCCACGCCGCCACATGCCGGAAAGAGAAGGTCCGAAGGGGAGAAAAAAACTCGAAGCCGCCAACAGCCCGTTCCCCGATCCCGCAACCATGAAGAGCAGCTGGAGCCGAAGTTTCTTCTCTGCGCTGGTTTTCCTCCTGTGGAGCCTCCGGTCGGCGGCTTCTCAAGCAGGTAACCGATCCCTCCCCAACGTCTCGGAAAGGGATTGCCGATTTATGTTTCGTTTTAATTCTATTTTGGGGCTGTTGCGAGCGGATCGGCGAGAAGAAACCGCCCTTTACAATAACAGGCGATCGCGCGTCTGTTTGCGCTCTAAACACGATCTTCCCCCACGGGTGTGTCTTATCATTCCGGCCGAGAGTGGTGCTTTCTTTTTATTTTATTTTTCCCCCTGCCTTCTTTTCCGTCCCACCACCAAACCTCAGCGTGTGGTGGGGTCTTTCCTTGGCTGTAGGGAAGGGACTCGCGCGTCAAGGGATGGCGCGCCGCCGCCGCCGCCGAGCGGCAAAACCTGTTTCCAGCGCCGCCACTTTTGCCGCCTGATGTCCGGAGGAAGCTCTCGGGTTTGTTTTCGCCATTCGTACCGGCGGTTTTAGGAGCGTGATCCTGGCTCGCTGATTGTGGGGTTGGAAGGCGAGGCGTGTGGGTTTCCCCAACCGCGAAGGGAGGGCAGAAACTTCGCGGCCAACTTTTCTGGAATCTGTGAAATCTTGTTCCGCCTGCTCCGTCGCTCCTGGGCCATCCTCTGCCTGCGAGGGGTTGGCGTGGGCTGGGATTCGGAGCCAAATCGGCTTCTGTGTGTGTGTGTTGTTTTGTTTTGTTTTTTCCCTTCGCCTTTCTCCCCGAGCACCTGTCAAAGCGATACAGAACCAAGAGTTCAGCCGGGCTTTCAGCTCCTAAATCCTTTGAATTAATTTCTAGAACTTGATCTGCCGAGTAATACAGCCGACTTCAGTCCTGGCGCACGTGAAGCAATGATCACAAATGAATGCTCCTGAGCATAGGCAGAGGGCTTTCCCGCTGAGTAGCCCTAGCCCGGGCTGTCATGCGCTTTGCCTTTTGGGGTCAAAAGCTTTCAGCGGAATGTTTTGCCTCTTCTCTTCCTTGTGGGTGGGGCTGTCCAGAAAGTATGGTTAACTCAGAAAACAAATCTGACAGAGTAAAGGGACTGCACATGCTCCTTTGGTGTGTAGGCCTCAGGACCATCCCTCTGGTACAGTACTAAATAATGCTTAATACACTTGACTCAAACACTTCACCGTACACTCCAAGCAAACATGCCTTTTTAACTCCATGTAGGACAGAATATCTGGATTTTCAGACAATTCTGGTCTAACATAACAAGGCTGGTGTTATACTTGAGTACAACACACCTTACAGAGAAGCCCTGCCCCATCCACACACCCCACCGCTGTGGTTGTTACACCAGGAATGCTTGCAGGCTTGCAAGCCCTCCCCTCCCCCTAACCCCACCCTGATTGTTTCAGAAAAAAAGGTCCCTTTCATAGTTGCATCACAGACATACATGGAACAAAGGGTGTTCGCCTTCCTGAATCACCTGTACGCTGGTTCGGTTGCTTATTACACAACTGTTAAGTCAACCCAAGTCCTACTGTGGAAAAAAGTACCCCCCCCCCCCCGGGATTTTGCAAGGATCACAGCCTGCCCTTGGAAAAGTTAGGATTATGTATGGAAGATCCTATTGTTCTTCTTTCGGAATATTTAAACCAGTCTAGCTACTTCTTTGGAGGCTCTCTGTCTAGGGCAGAGAGGAGTAATTGCTGATCAGATGCTTCCAAATGCCCTTTAATAACCCTTCCCTTTGGGTAGGAAACTGGTTCTGTGCATATTCATGGGCTCCATCTATACCAGCTCAGTGGATGTTGCTAGGTTGGATGGAGAGCTCTTGCACACTTTAATCACTGGACCAAGAAGGCCACATTCACCCTCCAGTGTCTTTAAGGAACTGCCTAGACTGTCCTGGAGTGGGTGGGTTGGTTGGTTGGCTGGCTGGTTGGCGGGTTGGTTGGTTGGTTGGTTGGCAGGTTGGCTGGTTGGTTGGTTGGTTGGTTGGTTGGTTGGTTGGTTGGTTGGTTGGTTGGTTGGTTGGTTGGTTTCTTTCTTTCTTTCTTTCTTTCTTTCTTTCTTTCTTTCTTTCTTTCTTTCTTTCTTTTCTTTCTTTCTTTCTTTCTTTCTTTCTTTCTTTCTTTCTTTCTTTCTTTCTTTCTTTCTTTCTTTCTTTCTTTCTTTCTTTCTTTCTTGTCACTCCAGAACATTGTGGGAAATATAAAATGGCAGGCCAGCTGTGCTCTAGGTTACCTGCAGCTGCTCTCCAAAGAGATAACTCCCAGGTATAGCCCCTTCAAACTTGGAGCCAGCCCTGGTGATTAAATTAAGGAGTGGTAGCTGTTCAAGACTAATTAATGAGTGTGAGGGTGTGAGCTCGTGTATGTGACACTGCAAGTCACTCATCTAGGTTAGAATCCTTACTCCACCCAGACTGAAGGGACACTGGAAAAAAACAACCACCCTCATGCTCCAATTAAATGTGATTATGCATTAGATCCTCTTAAGTATACCAAGTTTATACAAATTCTGGGTCAATAAATCACCTTCACATTGCACTCTTCAGGAAATGTTCAGGCTTATCTGGGTTGTTACATTAAGTCAGTCTTCCCCTAGCGGTGGATGAAGTGTTGGACTAAAGCACCCATCATGCCTAATCATGCTGATGGGGGATGAGGGATGTTGTAGTCCAACCCATCTGGAGGAAACCGGATTGAGGGAACCTGGATTAGGAGCTTCCCTTGTGCAGGGCACCTGAGTGGGAAAGGATAGCTTGGGGGGCTGGGGGCTCATCCAGTCAACAAAGAGAAGAGTTTCTGTGCTGGTAGCTGCTGGTGCCATCAGATCATGGAGACAAGCTTTTTGGGTTTCTTGGAGAGTAAGTGGGGGAGAGGAATCCCTGTAGTTTTTCCTGCTTTCCCACTTTCCACCAGTGGGGAGCAAAAGGGAAGACCCACTCCCCAACAGGACTGGTACCTCCTATCCCTTTTCATTCCTTCACTTTGCCTGATTGAGTCCTTACTTGGAGCAAGCAGGTTCCCAAGTGTGAAGATTAAACCTCACAAAGGGAGAGAAAGGTTTGGTTTGCAAAGGGCTAAGTCCACTGCCCTATCTTTGATTTGTGGTTTCTCAAGCCTGCAGGTTCTGCAGAATCAGGAGGGAGGCCAAGTGGATGGCGTTCAAAAGGTTAACCGCTCCCACCACGCATTGAGATACTTTGACATTTTTTACATAGCTCTCCCCCATCTCTTCATGGCCACCTGTTGTAAAACAAATACAGTTCTTTTCATAGGTTGGAAGGTGGGGGCAGAAAGCACTTTAGAAATCATTATTTTCTTAAACTCTGGAGATAGAGGCAAAAGAAGTGAAGCCTTCACTCTGCTTTAGTTCCTGTTGCTTGCGCCCTAGTCATAAAAATGCTTTGTTTCCTTAACCCAGGTTATCTGGAAATTCAGTTTTATTAGTGACTTCTAGGTAAAACTCAGAAAAGTTTTGTTTTATTTTTTTTCCCCTAGGGTATGAGTGCAAGAAGGGTTTCTACAGATAGGAAGGAGTGGTAAGAAGCAGAGAGGTGCAAGCCTTGTGAACATTTTAGTGCCATCAGATCACAAAAGCCCTCCTATGTTCTTAAGTCTGCTGTTGGGTTTCAAGAGAGGACCGAAGCTAGATGCTGCCAAAGAAGACCGTAGTCATCAAGGCAAAAGCCTTCCCAACAGGAGCATCACAACCCACATTTGGAGGCAGTCCCCTTGTATGCACACTCAGGGGATATCTTTCTCTGAGCCTGGAGAGGGTGGATAGTCATAGGGAATGGGGTGCCATCCTCTCTAAAGAGCAGGAACACAAAGTCATTTTGACACAGCCTTCCCCGCAGCCAGAAGATAGCATTGCACTTATACTTGTAAGTTTAATCATTTGGATAAAAATCAGAATATGCAAATATATGTCCTTTTTTTGTTGATGCTCTCTCTCTCTCTTTTTCTTTCTGCCACTGAGTAAGCAGCTGCTCTATCTGTGAATGACAGTGAGCAACCCCATTTTAAGCCCTCAGTGGTCATGATCGCTCCCCCATAATGTGGCAGTGAATTGCCCTTCATCTTTGAACGTTTAATCATTTGGATAAAAATCAGAATATGCAAATATATGTCCTTTTTTTGTTGATGCTCTCTCTCTCTCTTTTTCTTTCTGCCACTGAGTAAGCAGCTGCTCTATCTGTGAATGACAGTGAGCAACCCCATTTTAAGCCCTCAGTGGTCATGATCGCTCCCCCATAATGTGGCAGTGAATTGCCCTTCATCTTTGAACTTCATCGAGCCCCATTTTAAGCCCTCAGTGGTCATGATCACTACCCCATAATGTGGCAGTGAATTGTACTTCATCTTTGAACTTACGGAGCGTCATCGAGTCCAGCTCCTGTCAAGGAGGCACAGTGGAGAACTGAACTCCCAGCCTCTGGCTCCACAGACAGATGTCCCAGCTATTCAGCAGTTCTTCAAACTGAGAACTGAAGCTTGAATTACTAAGCGGGGTGCATGTGTTTTCTTTTGAGCGGAATAAAGTCAAATATGCAATCTATGATCATTCCCTTACAGGATAGCAAAAACAGAATGCAAACAAGTAGCAGTGCCCCCTTCGTGAGACAAGAGAAACCCAGATTGGAAATCTAGTATGAAGGAAAGGATTGATGCTTTAGTCTGTCATGAATGAAAAAGTGCCATGCTGATATTATTTGTTTATTATGTGCTGTCAATTCACCTCCAACATATGGCAGCCTTATGAATGAGCAATCTCCAAACTGGCCTGAGCTCCTGGTGCCCCCTTTGTGAGACAAGAGAAACCCAGATTGGAAATCTAGTACAGTATGAAGGAAACGATTGATGCTTTAGTCTGTCATGAATGAAAAAGTGCCATGCTGATATTATTTGTTTATTATGTGCTGTCAATTCACCTCCAACATATGGCAGCCTTATGAATGAGCAATCTCCAAACTGGCCTGAGCTCCTGGAAAATCAAGCCTGTGGCTTCCTTTAGAGAGAGTCAATCCATCACATATTTGATCTCCCTCTTTTTTGGCTGCCTCCAATGGCTGCAGTTCTGGATGGAGG